CTAAATGGCCTTTTTAGAAAGTGAACCATGAATGGGGAAATGTTGGCAGTTTTCTCAAAAAATGCTTGAATTCAAGAAGTTTTAGATTTGCGTGGCTTTTTTTGAGTTGCAAAATCCACCTGAACATGACGCTGCTTTTTTCGAATTCGTATATTTGCGTGTTTTAGTGGGCGTATATTTGAAGCGAACCTTTTCGCACAGACCCTTTTCCTTGTTATGTAACAGTTTGTAGGCAATTGGTTGAATCGAGCACCAACCACAATCAATGAGAGATTAATCGGGGTATACTGCTGACCAATGGGAAATATTGATTTTGCGTTTTGCTTTTCTTAGGTGTTGCTCTTTCGTGAGGCGTTTTTTAAGGAGCATGAAAAGTTCTTAGATTGGAGGAAAGCAAAGAGACATTTGCCAATGTCCAAAACACACACCTAACACTTAAAAAAAACGTGGTGACCTTTTCTTAGGTGTAAAATAATGTTCAGTAGAATTTCTGGGTTTGCTAAATGTTACATTATCGAAAAAGTTTTAGACATATATTTTTAGTTTCAGACAAAAAATAAATTGGAATGACTGAGAATAAGCAAAAATAAAAAAATATTCATTAAGCATGTTCATTTTTTATAACATTAGTGTAATGCATAGGTAACTGGAAAGCTCAGCTAATCTCAAACGCCTCCCCTACACACGTTATTGTATAACCGATTGCCTACCACCCACGGGTAAATTGTGTAAGGATGTTCTGTAGACGCAAGTGTTTTTTATTTCCCATGGGTGGTAAACTTGAAGTAACCCCAATGACAGTTGACTTTTCCGAGTTTTCCTTTAACTAGCCAAAATCGACGTGTTCTTTACATTTTCCTCGAAGTAAGTGTTGAATCTAAATCCGGGTCATTAGTGTGTTATATACGTGTCCAGCGGGTTGATTTATATAGACAGTCATTAATTTAGGTGATTTGTTTGGGTTTACAAGTGTAAAGTAACTAGTCATTCCAGACAAATATGGCCGACGATGTTCCGGTCGATTCGGGGCCAGGAAAGGCCACCGATGAGGAAGTCCCGAAAACGGAAGAACAGTCGGTGCAGTCCCCTTCTGAGGCCCAGCTAATCATGACTCCGAAGGAAGAGGTGCCAGCTTCGCCTGGCGCTTCAGCATCATCTCCTGCCGCCCCCAAACGCAAGATAACAGTTCATGTGAAAACACCAAAGGAAAAAGAGTCTTTTGAGGTAGACGAAGACCTCAACGTGAAAGAGGTACATAAGCAATGCTGATTCTTATAAATAGTCCGCACTTATTACGCGATCTACAGCAAATTGATGACGGGGGTTTTCCCAGCAGCAACAGTACTAGTAAACAAATTCCCTACTACGCCCCACATAAAATTAGAAACTCAGAATATCAGTCTCCAAATATCCAATTAATTGTAAACGTTTCGATGCAAATTCGCCAAAATATTAACTTGAATTGAAGATTATTTCACTAGGTGACTTGCAATATATGTAATCACTTAATGAGTTACTAGAGTTGTGCAATTACCAGACACCTCTCCAACTATTCATTTCCGTAAAATGTATTATTCTCTAACTATGTTCCTTATCTGTTTATAATTCAGTTGCAAAACTCTTGTGTTTCAACAGTTCAAAGATCTAATCGGCCCGAAGTTCAGCGCGGAGGCTGACCAGCTATGTCTAATATTCGCCGGCAAAATAATGAAAGACGCTGATAATCTGCAAACTCACAATATCAAGGACGGGCTAACTATTCATTTGGTTATTAGAGCTGCGCCTCAAGCCAGTGAGCCTGCACAACAAAGGCCTCCAGGTTTGTCAGTCCCGAAACGTTCATAATTCCCATTGTGAACAATACGTTATTCTTTACAGCTGATATTGGCGCAACTCCTTTTGGTCTTGGAAGTTTAGGTGGTTTAGCTGGCTTAGAATCACTTGGCTTGGGATCGACAAATTTTATGGAAATACAAAACAGAATGCAGAGCGAAGTGTTGTCTAACCCGGATATGCTTAGATCATTGTTGGATAATCCACTGGTTCAAAGATTGATGAACGATCCGGAAAATATGAGCGCTTTGATCACAAGAAATCCTCAAATGCAAGACTTAATGGAAAGGAATCCTGAAATCAGCCACATGTTTAACAATCCCGAATTGCTGCGCCAGACAATGGAACTAGCGAGGAATCCTTCAATGCTTCAGGAATTGATGAGGAGTCATGATAGGGCATTGAGCAACTTGGAAAGTATTCCAGGGGGATACAATGCTTTACATAGGATGTATCGCGATATTCAAGAGCCCATGTTATCGGCCGCTACTGAACAGTTTGCCCAAAATCCCTTTTCCGGCTTGATGGATAATACTCAGCTGAATAACCCACAACAAGGTATTTTTCTTATTTTTCTTACGGCTTCTGATTTAATGACGAGTGGACTGTTGCGAGATACATGGTCAATGTTGGAAATTAAATATTATTCCACAATATTCACCATTTTTAGACACATTTACCCCATAAAGAACGTCATCTCTTCGCCTAGTTTTAAGTTATGTTTGCTTAGTAGGAAAGAGTATTTTCCTACATGATTAGTTTGACAAAGTTTTGCCAGGTACTGAGAATAGAGATCCACTACCAAACCCGTGGAATAGAGGAGCACCGAATCCGCCATCAGCTACTACACCAGGCAGGAATGTGGTTGTTAATCCACCAATGGCGAGTTTGTTACAACAGATGTCGGAAAACCCATCTATGGTTCAAAACATGTTGTCAGCACCATACACCCGATCGGTTCTGGAAGCTTTAGCTGCAGATCCCAACATGGCTAACTCCCTTTTAGCAGACAACCCATTGCTTTCGCGCAATCCGCAATTGCAAGAGCAGATGCGAAATATGATGCCACAGTTGATACAGCAACTACAGAACCCAGAAATGCAAAATCTTATGATGAATCCTCAGGCTCTTAATGCTATAATGCAAATTCAACAAGGTAGCCACTTTGAATTGGTGGATTTGTCACTGACTGAATAACATTATTTTTCATCAGGCATGGAAACTTTAAGACAAACTGCACCTTCACTTGTAAACACTTTCGTTCCGCCTACGGTTCCCACTGGTTCTACCACAGCTCCTCCAGGTCCCACCACCGAAGGCACAGTGACTTCAACCACAACCACCAATACTGTGCCACCTGCAACTGGTGCTACACCGTCATCTGCTGGTGCAACACCTGGTGCTGGTGATCCATTTTCAGAGGTATGACTGTTTTTTATATGAATCTTTGGAAGCGACATAAAATAACAATCAGATGCAGGATTCGTTTTTTGCATATCTCTATATATCATCAAATCTCCGTACTGTTTTTTATAGAATGGCTAACGTACTTTTTTTGCTTTAAATTAATTTTCAAAACCTCTAGCTCTTTTCTTTCCGAGCTGATCTATCGCTTTAAATTTTTTCTTTACTGATTAAAACGGGTTAAAAGTATTTTTTGCTAATCAGTTTATTTTATAAAAATATTATTTGCAGTTTATGGCTCGAATGGTAGCTGGAATGACGGCAGGAAATGACCAAACATTGCCTCCAGAGCAACGTTATCAGCAACAATTGGAGCAGTTAACTGCAATGGGTTTTCTAAATCGAGAAGCAAATTTACAGGCCTTAATTTCTACGTTTGGTGACATAAATGCAGCTGTGGAAAAGTTACTAGCGTTAGGACAGTTGTCTATGAGCTAACCTTTTTAAACCCACAAAATGCCACTGGAAGTTAAAAGATGGTTGAGCTTCTTTTGTATTACATGAAGGAGCACAGACTAATAATTTAATGCTTTTTCTGGTTTTTTTTTATTAAACTTGTAGTAGAAAAGTTGATCTATGAAGTTACAGCAGAAGTGTTTATGGGGTTCTATTTGAGGGGCGGGACTTTACTTTTATTCTAACATTTGTGTTAAGGTTATAGAAACCACTTAATTTCTAAGGTATTCTATATGTGAAGAAAAATCTATTTTTGAAGCCTGAAATGATATATCAAGTATTGTTTCGTTCTACTTAGTAGATGCAGGCAATTTGTTTTAATTTGATATGGTTTTGCATTTCGATGGTTTATATACTTATATTCACCCTTAGGATTAATCTATGTTCAAAACTCAATAATAACTAAAATATAAGGCTGAACGTTTAAGAACTGTTTGAAATGGACAACCAATACCGGCGTTTTAAAAACAATTTATTATATTAACTGGTTATTTTTGTTTTTGAATTAAAGCTTGTATCAGTTTCTCTCTTTGACTTTTTCATTTCTACAATGTACTAACATTGTAGTTTGCTTTGCACTATTTACTTTGCTTCTCTTCAATCGAAGTGTTCTGACTAACATCTTTCAATGCCTTTTTGTAAATATTTACTTTTAAATATATAAGGGTGTTATTTTTGTTCGTAGCATGATAGATTTTCTTTTTCAATGAGTAAGTAGTTCAGCAACTATCAGTTTTTATCAGTTATGACGACATCTTAGTCAACTTTGCTTAGCTTTGATTTTTCAAAGTAACATAATTTAAATGGATTACAAGGAGCAAGTTAATATTATATTTGTTTACTTGAACAGTAGCTCTACTAATGTGTGTTAGTTCGTGTTAAACCACAGTAAATATTCATTTACCATATAAAGTTTAGCTGTCACCATATAAAATACGACTGGACTTGTTGCAAGTCGTATATCATATTTTTAGCATATTTTACGGTATTCTTAGTGAAGGCATTCCTGTAAATTTTAAGTTCAATAAAACGACGTATCTACATTTGAGAATGTTTTATTTGTACATTCTAGATTTTTTCGAATAAACTCCTGTTGCTTCAATCAACATGAAAGGAAAACGGATTCAATTCGTCTATTGTTAAAAAAATTTAAACATTACTGCTTGCACATATTTTACGGTATTCGCAGTGAATGAATTTCTGTAAATGTTAACTTCAATAAAAGGACGTAACTACATTTGAGAATGTTTTATGTACATTACAAATTTTTCAAATAAACTCCTGTGAATCCAATAAACATGATGGGAAAAGCGATTCGACTACATATTGAGTTTTTTATGTATAAAAAAATACCGATTGCCCAAATTAAATTAATTAATTATAATGACATGATTGAAAAGTTGCATCTGACCTTTAAACAAACGTACGTTTTGTAGTTCTGATTAAAATGATTTCGTACAGTACGAAGGTGCCTCATGTTGTAACGTAAAAACGTACCAGTGTACCGCATAGTGTGCAAACACAGATTTATTTGCTTTTTATATGCAAAGTTTTTTTCGTATATAAAGGATCGACAATACAACTGAAACCAAAAATTATGTGATGACAATCGAAACAATAATTAAAAAATGTATATCCTATGTAAGTGGATTAACTTGGAATTAAACAAGAAATGTAGTTCAAAGAAAAGTGAACTAGGTGGTTAAAAGGAGATTTGCAAAGTTGTTAATTGAAAATTAAGCACAGTTAGGTTCAAATAATACTCGAGATATTCCTATACTAAATACTAACTGTAGATTCCACATGATCTATTGTTTTAGCGCTTTTCGTAAAGTGCATCATAAAAAAGTAGTAGACGTGCTAATTAATAGGCAATCACCTTTAAATCCCAATAGAAGCTCCATAACGCTTAGGCAAGAAAATAATCCAGGTCGCCACAAGTTTACACGATCCAATAAACTTTTCTAATCATCGGTATTTAAGATACCCTGGCTGAAACCTTGCAACTTTGTTCAAGAAATCATATATTTATTTTGTAAATAAAAAACAACAGTAAACTCATTCATATGGGTCACGAAGGCACATAATCAAATAGCCTGTAGATAACTGTAACAAAGATTTTGAAGTAATTAGCACCATCAAGGTGTAATATTTGTGAAGATGTCCGGAAATCTGGCCTTCTATTCTTTATCTATATTAAATCAGTAGTCAATCATCCTCGACAGTATCAAGACTTCAGGATGAAACATATTTTTATTTTTTTGTTGGTGTCATGGAACGTAAAATTGCATCAGTGCTTTCCACATGATACATCGGTGATTTCGAAATATGCGAAAGTTACAGTGTGGAATAACAACAAAACGAACTCCCCGATAAGCAGGAATACTCGCGATGGAAACATCTGGAATCACAGGTAATTTTTTAAAAGTCTTCAGCTGAAGCGTTGGAAGGATTTATTATAGTCTAGCAGCAGCTAATTATCTTACAAATTTACCAACTATCGTCAGAAGCAATAAATAAAAAATAAATAAACTACCTTGTAGATTGGACCCCAAAAGCATCTCCCCAACAACAAAGAAGAAAAACCCTTCAGTAGCATACCAGTATCCCGTATATCAGCATCCCGAATCGAAAATGCACCAAGTAACGGAAAATGTGCCAGGAATAGGAGAAGTTATCGTAGCCAAGCCGATGCAAGCCCAAGATCGATTCGAGTCTCGCCCCCTATTTGCTTACAAAAACAAATTCTCCTCCGCTACCTACTTGCCTCCTTCTCAGCCGAAAAAACCTGCTGCACCCGCCCCGGTCACGTCGTCTCCTCCTGTTGCAGCTCCGCCCCCTTTACAAGCTTCTGATTCGGGTAGAGGGTCGTATTCTTCTCCCTACAGTTCATACAACCCGCCAGACTTCAAGCCTGATGATACTGGAAGTGCAGATAAGTATCCTCCCAACACTGACTATGGACCGGCACAGGAAGCTCCAATGGACGATATGAAAAGTGCTTCTACGGACCCACCAAAGCAGATGGCTCCCGATTCCTATGCTTCATTAGGGCCTCCTGTCGCTCCGGATGACGGAGAAGACCATGCTCAGCACGACCATCCAGAATATGATTTCCACCATCACGACCACAGCCCCCCAGAAGACCCGATGGCAATGTACAAATACCATGAAGGTCCTCCAAAGGAAGCCCCTAAGAGCATTGATGATGTTTATTATCCTCCCGATTTCCCGAAAGAGCAGATTGACCATCCAGAGATGGCAGGACATGGAGACGACATGGGCGGACAGGGAGACGATATGGGAGGACCAGCAGATATGATGAAGGACGATGGGATGATGCCTCCAGGTGAGGACGAGGGAAAGGCAAATGAAGACCCAGCTCCAGATGACCACATGCAGATGGCACCTCCACCTGATTACGATCACGATCACCATCAGGGACATGCATTTCCGCCGTACCTTTATGATCACCACCATTATGACCATCACGTCTATGAGGAAATTCCGCATACCACAATGGCTCCAGAGAAGGAAGACAAGCGTGTCAGCAGCACCAATTACAGTTACTACTATTTGGGACGCAAGCTTTGGTACATCCCGCTTTACTTCAGCGTATACTTCATTATCTACGTTACGGTTCTCATCCTCAAGTCCATAGCGAGACATAAGGTTAAGTTAAAGTACAAATGGTACGAGCACGGTTCCGCCAAAGAAGCAAGGAGCCTGGATTTGGACGATGCGAGGCACGAGGCGATAACGGAAGTTCATCGCAACGTTTCAGCGGCTTTGACTAATGCGACCACGAAATATAGTGTTTTAGCTATGAAGTAATTAATAAAATTTGCGAAAATGTGTTATTGAGTTTTTTTATTGCAAACCTGAGTCAAATGATCAGTCTGTAACTGCAAAGCTCAGAGTTCAACGGCCACGAGTCTGCATTCCGTCCAATATATGGAAAACTTCCCGTTCGCTATTTTTGTTGAATTTGTCAATGCGAGTCAAATGGGTTCGATCGGCTCAATAGTAGGTAGAGTTAGAAGGGTGAATGAACGAAAAAGGCTTTGGATGGCTTAGGCATAGAGGGATGGTAGGTAATAGAGCATCAAAAGACTAGAACAATGCAAAATTTCACTAACAGCTCACGATTTGAGTTTGGTTTCAATACTAATTACTGACTAAGTGTACCATTGTTTAAACAAATAACGAATCCGGATTATGGTTGGAAAAATCCATTAAAACCAGGCCAGCACTGGTAGTGATTTACTTTTTTGAGTTTTTGTCTGCCTCGGCTGCTGATCAAATGAATGAAAATTTAACGAATAATACATTAAAACTGCACACATGAATAAAAGCTTTCAAAGAATTAGCTTTGCGTGGTTGGTAAAATAAGATTCATTTTCTGGTTTCACATATCAACCGTCAATTTCGCTTTCGTTTTTGCACTTAATTAAGAAAAATTCCAAAAAGCCGCACATTGCATATGAGTCGCTGTAGGTATTTACATAAAATTGCTCCTCTTTAGCCTCCAGCCGTTTGCATGGTACTCATAATCTAGTTCCATTTATTTGTTATAAAAATTATGTCAACTAAACCTATTTTCCGTTAAGTTAACATGTACCAGATAATAACAATTATCACTCATTCATAACTGGTTATCATCACACTTAGAATAGTGCCATCTTCGATTTTTAGCAGTTGATGGCTAGGAATTGAAACAATCTGAAAATATCGGAAGATCGAAAAATCGGTAGTGCATCATTTATTTTTATACATTTTTACGATGTACTTTATTGTGTTTGTTTGTTGTGTGGGTGTTTTGGTTTCTCTACATGTTACTTATGCTGCAACTGTTTCAACCACCGATACCACTTTGGCTGTTGCCACCACAACTCAATTAACTCAAACTACTTCAGAAAAAACTCGGTAAGTAAAAAACCGGCGCTTGGAAAACTTAAAATAAAGTGGAATTGAAAATAAAATTTTGCGCCAATATCAAAGATTGATAAGTTCTTAACAGCCACTTTGCTTGGCCAGGTATGAAAAAGGCTTAGAAGATTACGATGAAGAGCAGCAGAGTATGCGACAGGCCAGAGGAATGATGGATGATGACATTGTGTATCATGATGACCATCATGAGGAACATCAAGAAATGAAGGAAGAGTCAAAGGCAGCTATTGCAGATCCATGGGAAGGCTACTATGACTTTATTATTAACGAGGGCAGTTTTAAGTTTTGGGCTGCTTTTCAGGTACGAATTATCGTGTAGTTAAGTTATTAACTTCAAATTGGAACGCCGATATCATAGGTTTAGTGCAAAGCGGGCATTGTATAAAGTTACGTGCATAATGCCCCCTAGTTGATTGATTATTTTAGGCACACTTTTAATCAACAAATATACCAAAGGCCATTAAATCCGGAATATTGATTTTCTCGTAAGAGAAGCCAACTTTTGGAGATTTTCGCGCTTTGAGGCCGTAGCGGAAAATAATTTGTCCCTAACGTTTTGCAACTGAGGAACTTCAAGAAGAATATCTTTTCCCCAACGGCCCGAAAGCCCAATAAACTCATCAGCTTCAATATCAAAACAGTTATTGCTTGAAATTGCTTGTTCAGAGGTGGTTTGCTCATCAGGAAGAAATTCTTTTCCCCTGTAGTCTAAAGGCCCAAAAACGCATCGTTTTCAAGAAATAACCGCTAAAGACCAAATATTTTGTTAGGACATTTCTGGTTTATTCAGGTTTTTTTTTAAGTATATAACGGTGTTTTTTGCGATTTTATAAGAGCCACTCTAAGCATGTATAAGTGAAATTCCTGAGAATAATAAAATATGTTTTATTTTCAGCTGGTAACGGCCGCTCTTTTGATTTACTCAGCATTTGCAGCAGTATATTATGCCAAGTTTAATGTTATAACGACTGACTACGATTACTACGATGATTTTTATGGAAGAGGCCGAGCCAACACAGAATCATCGTTTTCGAGTTTATGGTCCGGGTTATCTTCGCAAACGTTCCAAAGGATAATGGATGCCATATCGTCAAAGAAATACACGTAAAATGAATCTTAGTGAGAGTGAAGTGAAAACAACAGACATTAATTAAATTTGTTGTAGAATTTAAGGCATATTCATTTTTGGCGAAACAGCAACTTGCCAAATCTAAATGTGTATTAATTGTTTAGCGCCAGATGATAGCTCACAGCTGAAACAAAATGTTAATTTGTTCCCATGTTATTGATTGGTGGCTAGATAATTAATGAGCGTCAAGCTAACTTGAAACAACCTGTTTTGCTGTAAATGCATAATTAAATTTATGATAATTTGTATTCTTTTACTGCATCTTTACTGCGTCGGTTAACTACTACAACAGCGTATGTTTCATCTCAGATTCAAAACTTTGACTCTGGACTACTCAGGAAATTGCTTCCTCACAACACTAGGATATCTTTCAAATGACCCACCAGGAAAATTAAATATTTTCCAAACATAAGTGTGAATCTACTCTTTTTTTTCACGCAAAGTATTCAACTCTAACTGGCCAATCAGGAGAGACATTGTTACAATACGAGTTAGAAGCACGACGCAAGGACAAGTCATTGGAAGTAAACTTATAGCAAAGCCAAGGAGGAAGTAAACTTCACCAACGGGTTGTTATCTAGAAAAGGTTACTGGGATTTATTTTCTGTACTGCTGGAAATTTTGATTTATTTTCCTGACTGCGTCTAATTGTTATTATATTATTTTCTTTCCTGGGCTCCAGCCACATTGTGAAACTATTTTTTTTTGTATATCGTATAGACAACAGCGCCATCATCAGATTTTAAAATTCATGCAAACTCATAATTGGTAAACATTATATTCATTTAGGTCTTTGCTGTCTTTTACAGCCAAATTTTTTTTTGTATATCGTTTATTTCGTTACGTTTCGGCGAGACAACAGCGCCATCATCAGATTTTAAAATTCATTCACTCATAATTGGTAAACATTATATTCAGTTAGGTCTTTGCTGTCTTTTACAGCCAAATTGTTTTTGTATGTCGTTTATTTCGTTACGTTTCGGCGAGACAACACCGCCATCATCAGATTTTAAAATTCATTCAAACTCATAATTGGTAAACATTATATTCATTTAGGTCTTTGCTGTCTTTTACAGCCAAATTGTTCTTTGTATATCGTTTATTTCGTTACGTTTCGGCGAGACAACAGCGTCATCATCAGATTTTAAAATTCATTCAAACTCATAATTGGTAAACATTATATTCAGTTAGGTCTTTGCTGTCTTTTACAGCCAAAATATTTTTTGTATATCGTTTATTTCGTTACGTTTCGGCGAGACAACAGCGCCATCATCAGATTTTAAAATTTATTCAAACTCGTAATTGGTAAACATTATATTCCTTTAGGTCTTTGCAGTCTTTTACAGCCAAATTGTTTTTTCTATATCGTTTATTTCTTTACGTTTCGGCGAGACAACAGCGCCATCATCAGATTTTAAAATTCATTCAAACTCATAATTGGTAAACATTATATTCATTT